AAATGAAGCTAGAGGCTCTTAGATAAAGCGAATATTCGGACTGAAAATAATTAGTTGCAAGTTGAAGAAGTATTCTACTTTTTACAGCAAAGTTCGTGGAGTTTTGTGTCGCAGCAACATTAACTCACACGRCAATCAGCTGACTTWAGTGACCAATCAGAAATCACGATTCACTCCACTTTTTCATGTCCGCTAAAACAGTCCTCCTAACCAGTTTTTGCTTTGTCTAAGCGAAAATAGAAGTATATTCTTGCCATTTACTAAAAATAAAMTGTAAAAACGGCTTTTAAGGAGATATTTAGTGGTTTTGAAAAGTGCGAAGACTACTACCATCATGYTTTGCTGCACAAAATGGCGTCGCTGCACGTTGCCCGGCTATTGCAACAAATTATTTTGATTCGATAAATTCGCATGGTTCGACGGTAGTAATATTCGAAGCATCGCTTTTCCAAATTGATTTGCAGCAATGTTGCGAGACAAGTTGAGTCATTTGCTGTTCGCATTTGTTGATRATGGTGTTCTAATGATTTCCGCACCCCTCCCCTAGTTGTGAAGATTTGTACCACGGCTACGGTGTGAGTTTGTGTATGAGAGTTGCATGAAAACGAAGTTGTACAGTGCGTTGTATGTTAAAGATTAAAGAACAACATGTCAGAAAACGAAGGCGTTACAGTGTACGTATAGTTAACTGCCATAAATATCTGGGTTTAAGTACATGGACGTGTAAACAATTGGAAGACGCTTTAGGCACTCCGTGCATACACCCGAAGACGTGTTTCCTCACGCGACGTTTTATTTTTCTTCACGCGTTGCGTGGCTATTATTTTGTAGGTCTGATGCTTACGTACGCACGGACGGTATTAATGATWATTTTGAACTCCTCGCGCGCTTACTTAGAACACGTTGTGACTGACAAAACCAGCGTGCAAAGTCGACAAGGTGAAAAAACATTAGAAAAACCTTTAATCTACACTTTTTCAGAGCGGTGGTGTATAAACTACATTGTACTTGCAAAATCTACCAAGAAATTATTTCATTCCTGCACGCACGAAATATTTTATAAGCCAAGCAAGTCCTTTAATTTAATTTTGATGTTCAGAAACTATCTTAAGTAATCTTGGCTTGCAAGTTACGTCAACTCGCCAACAATTAATTTTTCCGAATTTATTTCCAAAGGTCTTAGGAATAAACTCCTTCCTAGCACTATAACTTTCCTTCATTTCTTTGTTTAAAAATGTTCAGTATGGGAGTGTGAATAACAATTACCCAACTTAGTGAAGTTTTGGTCAAATTCATAGTCAAATTCACCAGTACGGCATTTAGAATTGATAGAAAAGTTTGTTAACCCCAACCCTTGCAGGTTAAGGCACTGAGTATCCACTGACACTTCCATCCCAACTCTCCCTACCCCTTATTCTCACCAACTTTCCCTCCCCATTTCCCAATCCCATTCCCTTCGCCATCTCCCTCTCCACCTTTCCCTTTCCCAAATTCCCCATCCCCTTTACCATTCCCAACCTCTCCTCAATTTCCCTCTCATCCCCTCCCTCTTTCCCCATCTTCCGGAGAAC